CTGGAATGCTAAGCTAGCTAGGCAAATCTAGCAGAGCATTACTTAAATACCGTATAAGTGAACAAATGCTTTTCTGGAATGCTAAGCTGGCTAGGCAATCTAGCAGGGCATTACTGAAAATATTAAGTGTAAAAATGCTCTGGTGGAATGCTAAGCTGGCTAGGCAAGTCTCAGCAGGCGCATTACTTAAATAAAGTGTTAAAATGCTCTGCAGGAATGCTCAGGCTGGCTTAGGCACTATAGCAGAAGCATTCCTTAACTAATATGAAAAAATGCTCTGCGTGGAATGCCTCAGCTGGCTAGGGCAATCTTAGCAAAGAGCTATTACTAGATATAGTGTAAAAATGCCTCTCTGCTTGGAGCTCTGCTGGCTAGGCACTATTAGCAGAGCATCCTTATATAGGTGAAAAAAAATGCCTCTGCTGGAATGCTCAGCTGGCTAGGCAATCTAGCAGAGCAAATTACTAGATATAGGTGTAAAAATGCTCTGGTGGAATGCCTCAGGGCTGGCTAGGCAATCTAGCAGGGCATTTCGAAATTATAGTTAAAAAAATGCTCTGGTGGAATGCTCAGTTGCAGACTGATTCTGAGTTCAGGATTTATTGTTTGCCAAAGTTTTTATTGACATTTTCGACTTCTTAGGCAATTCTGAAGGCACTCGCCAGACTTTTCAGTGAATTTTCCGGTGCCAATAGAAAATTTTTATATTTTTTGACTTCTAAAAACCTTTCAGAGACTATTTCATTAGATCCTGCGACTTTTTGAAGGACACTTGCGCAGACTTTTCAGGAATTTTGTGGTGCCAATGCTGATATTGACAAATTTAAAGACTTCTAGGGACCTCAAGAGTCCATTTTGGTCGTCTGCGACTGATCTTGGACACTGCGGCAGACTTTTTTTCATGAATGGTTGGTGCCAATGGAAATAATCATATTTTTGACTTCTAGGGACCTTTAAGAGTCCATTTCCATTGGCCTGCAGCGTAATTGTTGGCGACACTCGCAGACTTTTCAGGGAAAGTTTGGTGCCAATAGACGATGATTGGCCAATTTTACTTCTAGGGAACCCACCAGAGTCCATTTTTTATGCGTCTGCGACTGATTCTGAGACATTGCAGACTTTCAGGAATCTCTTCGGTGCCAATGGAGATAATTTACATTTTTGACTTCTAGCGACCCACCAGAGTTCATTTCGCTGGTCTGCGACTGATTTTGGGACACTTGCAGACTTTCAGGAATTTTTGATGCCCAATGGATATAATGACATTTCTGACTTTTTTAGGGAACCGCCAGAGTACATTTCTTGGGGTCTGCGACTGATTCCTTGAGACTCGCAGACTTTCAGGATGTTTTTCAGTGCCATTGCAGATCGTGACATTTTTGACTTTTAAGGACCCCTTAGTCATAAAGCAGAGCATTTTAAACCCTAAAATGTCATTATCTGCATTAGCACCAAAATTCCTGAAAGTCTGCAAGTGCCCAATAATCAGTCGCAGACCAACGAAATAGACTCTGGATGGTCAAAAATGTCATAAATTGTAATTATCTCTATTTGCACCAACAATTCCTGAAAGTCTGTGGACTGTCCAAGATTAAGTCGCAGACCAAAAAAATGGACCTGGATGGTCCCTAGAAGTAAAAAATGTCCATTATCTGCCTTGACATAAAAATTCCTGAAAGTCTGTGAGTTGCCGTCAGAATCAGTCCGCAGACCCAAAAACAAATGGATTCAGAAACGGGTCCCAATAAGTTTCAGAAATATCATTTTCTGCATTGACACCGAAATTCCCGAAAGTCTGCGAGTGACTCAGAGATCAGTCGCAGACCAACGAAATAGACTCAGGAGGGTCCTTTTGAAGTAAAAATGTCATTATCTCCATTGGCAGCCGAAAATTTCTGAAAGTCTGCGAGTGTTCGAGAAACATTCGCAGACCAACGAAATGGACTCTGGATGGTCCTAAAAATTCACAAATGTCATTATCTGCATTAACACCAAAAATTCCTGAAAGTCTGCGATCGTCCCAGAATCAGTCGGAGACCAAAGAAATAGACACTTGAGGTTCCCGTAGAAGTAAAAATTGTCACTAAATATTTCAGAAAGTCTACGAGTGCCAAATAATCAGTTGCAGACCAACGAAATTTATACATGTACTTTATTTAAGAATGCCATGCTAGTTTGCCTAGACAGCTCAGCATTCTGGCAGATCATTTTTACACTAATTTTCAGAATGCTTTGCTGGATTGCCTAGCCAGCTGATCATTTTTAACACTATATTTAGGAATGCCCGGCTAGATTGCCCACAGGGTAGATTGCCTTTGTTGCAACTGTGTAGCCTCTTTAAATAAAGACTTTATTATTATTATTATTATTATTATTATTGCATAGCTAGCTGAGCATACCAGCAGAGCATTTTTCACACTATATTTTGGAACGCTCTGCTTGATTGCTTAGCCAGCTGAGCTTGCCAGCAGAGCATTTTTATACTATATTTAGGAATGGTCTGCTGGATTGCCTAGCCAGCTGAGCATTTTTAACACTATATTTAGGAATGCCCTGCTAGATTGCTTAGCTAGCTGAGCATACCAGCAGAGCATTTTTCGCACTATATTTTGGAACGCTCTGCTAGATTGCTTAGCCAGCTGAGCTTGCCAGCAGAGCCATTTTTTACACTATATTCAGGAATGCTCTGCTGGATTGCCTAGCCAGCTGAGCAATTGTTAACACTTTATTTAGCGATGCCCTTCTAGATTGCCTAGCCACTCAGCTGAGCAATTCAGCAGAGCATTTTTTACACTATATTTTGGAATGCCCCGCTAGATTGCTTAGCCAGCTGAGCATAACAGCTGAGCATTTTTACACCTATATATCAGGAATGCCCTGCTAGAATGCCTAGCCAGCAGTGCATTACCAGCAGATCATGTTTACACTATATTTTTGGAATGCCCCGCTAGATTGCTTAGCCAGCTGAGCATAACAGCAGAGCATTTTTACACTATATTTTGGAATGCCCCGCTAGATTGCTTAGCCAGCTGAGCATAAACAGCAGAGCATTTTTACACTATATTTTGGAAAATGCCCCGCTAGATTGCTTAGCCAGCTGAGCATAACAGCAGAGCATTTTTACACTATTTTTTGGAATGTCCCGCTAGATTGCTTAGCCCAGCTGAGCATAACAGCAGAGCATTTTTTACACTATTATTTTGGAATGCCCCGCTTTAGATTGCCTAGCCAGCTTGAGCATAACAGCAGAGCATTTTTACACTATATTTTGGATTGCCCGCTCTAGATTGCTTAGCCAGCTGAGCATAACAGCAGAGCATTTTACACTATATTTTGGAATGCCCCGCTAGATTGCTTAGCCAGCTGAGCATAACAGCAGAGCATTTTTACACTATATTTTGGATTGCCCCGCTAGATTGCTTTAGCCAGCTGAGCATAACAGCAGAGCATTTTTACACTATATTTTGGAATGCCCCGCTAGATTTGCTTAGCCAGCTGAGCATAACAACAGAGCATTTTTACACTATATTTTGAAATGCCCCGCCTACATATTGCTTAGCCAGCTGAGCATACCAGCAGATCATGTTTGTACACTCATATTATGGAATGTACCGCTAGATTGCTTTAGCCAGCTGAGCATAAACAGCAGAGCTTTTTACACTATATTTAGTAATAGCCCCGCTAGATTGCTGAGCCAGCTGAGTATCTTTACACTATATTTAGGAATGCCCTGCTAGATTGCTTAGCCAGCTCGGCATAACAGCAGAGCTTTTTACACTATATTTAGTTATGGCCCCGCTAGATTGCTTAGCCAGCTGAGTATAACGGCAGAGTATTTTTTACACTATATTTAGGAATGCCCTGCTAGATTGCCTAGCCAGCTGAGCATACCAGCAGAGCATTTTTACACTATATTTAGTAATGGCCTGCTAGATTGCTTACCCAGCTGAGCATACCAGCAAAGCATTTCTACACTTTATTTTGGAATGCTCTGCTAGATTGTTTACCCAGCTGAGCATAACAGCAGATCATTATTTCCCTATATAAATCATAATGCCTTTTTGCTTAGCTCACTGTTAACTGCTAACTTCTCACATACAATTCGCGAGCTAAATATTTAAGCTAAAATAAATTGATTATTAATACAAAAATGATGCAAAATTTTATATATCTATTTACATGTACCTGTTTTTGTGATATTTTTTTAAACGAAGAGTAGATAAAACCAATTCAAACTTGTCAGGAAAGTATTTAGGGTTTCCTTAATTCTAGTAGCTTAATAGTTTTTGATACACTGAACAGAACTTATAAATCTAATGTATAGCTATATACCATGAAGCAAATGATATGTTCAGCACAGACGCTTGGGGGGTCAAATCATGCCCCCAACCTGATACGCCCTTGTAAACACGCTATCAAAAATATTTTAATATGCGACTTAATGGTAAAAAGGTATTTGTTTTTCATATATTTAAAAAATGTTTGAAAACCAGTTTTATGTTGTAGCTGATGTCCCATCCGTTTTGAAATATTAAAATATGTTTGATAGATTGTTTACAAGGGCGTATCACGTTGGGGGCAGGATATGACCCCCCAAGCGTCTGTGAAGTTCAGGTAGACCACACGCCCATACAAAATTCCATTGCTTTCAAACCACATTTTACACACAGCTCAGCTAACCATGTTGCCCTAAAATTTTTGGATATATATGAAATTTGGCGTTGGTTATTGGGATAAACATGTATTTACCTCATATCTTATCAATTCAATTTTACTAAAAGGTATTTCCACATTTCTCAAATCATACGGCAGAGTTTTATAAGGTTTGTTCTATGTGTATAAATAGTCTGTAATATCATGAAATCGACCATTTTTAGAAAAGGACCATGTCTGAACATGACAACTTTTCACATTTGTATTACCAATAATTACAGATCTGGTGGGTTTAAATCTGGCTCAGCTAAGAAACATTAATAAGAAAAAATGTAACAGCAACTCACCTAAGGATTTGTACCATCTTCTGCTGTAAGGTGTACCTCGTACACATATAGGGCTATATAACAGTGGACTGGAGGGTACGGCTGTACTCTCTTCGTCTAGAATGTAAATAATATATAATATTTGTGACTTTTAAACTCTTAATATGAGCCGCGTCACGACAAAACCAACGTAATGCATTTGCGACCAGTATGGATCCAGACCAGCCTGCGCATCCGCGCAGTCTGATCAGGATCCATGCTGTTCGCTAACAAACCCTTTAACAAGTAGAGAAACTGATAGCGAACAGCGTGGATCCTGATCAGACTGCGCGTATGCGCAGGCTGGTCAGGATCCATGCTGGTCGCAAATGCATTACGTTGGTTTTGTCATGACATGGCTCATATTTTCTTACCCTAATAATTTCTTTATATAAGTTTGTAATGAGTTGTTAGGTTAGCTGCATGTCAAAAGTATAATACAGTAGCTACATGTTCGTACATATAGTTACGTTGTCCTTTTTATATTAATCTATACTGGATATATATTATGGTTTTGTTTAAGAGAAAAATGCCGTGCTTTTCGAGAGATCCATTCAATATTGACTTTTAGAGGTGACTGAATGATTTATTTTCACTTACCACTGTTACTGTCACAACTACTGTCTGAAAAGTTTCTTTCTTGCCTGCTCAGTCTTGCGTTCTGGCGTCTCATTTCCGCCATCGCGCGCATGTCAGCTTTTATTTCCTGTACGATGTCTCTTTCTTTAAGACTTTTTTTAGAATGTCGGTACGTTTTGTGCGAGTAAATTTTTGAAGGCTTCTCTGCAGGAGAACTGGTGCTTATGTCTTCATCTAGAAAATAGCCATGATGTTTAATTTATTAAATGTATTTATAAAGGAAAATAGATTGAGTCACAGTATGGAACCATTTAAACATTTCTAAAAATGTATCAAATAAATCTCATTTTATTTGGAAATTAAAATTTCACTGAAACTATCTTAATTAATGCCCGATTTTGTCGCATGAAATAATAAGAACATTTGGTAAAGATTTGATTTAAAAAGGACAAGCAAAGAAATATCTCACCGCTGTCACTTTCAGAACTAGAACTACAGCCTGCCTGATTTGTAGCCCTGCTCAGTGCTTCTGTGCGATGTACTTCCTGTGCAACATCTCTGTTTGATTGGCGTCTTTTTCTGTAAAGCTTAGTAAGCGAGTCACACATTGTCAGCTTTTCTTTTTTGAAAACGGTGTCCATGTTCACATCTGAAAGATACAATTGTGATATATTTAAAGTGCTGAATCCTGTTAAGATACATGTATGTCAAATCGTTTTACAAAGTAAAAGTTATTTTATTGCAAGTTATAAAATAACGTAGAGAATAATTTCAAAGATGTCTGACGGATACCTGAGAAAATTATATAAATATTTTAGAAAATTATTACTGTCAATGTTAAGATATTATTCGAATAGAGTGAAAATATGATTATATACCATCATCACTATCAGAGCTACATTCTGACAAGTTTCTGTTTCTTGTCATCCTTTTGTTTCCCGCCCCGTCGTTTTTCCCCCCTGCGTGCGAAATTGTCATTTTTTTTTATTTCCCTTTAAATGTCTCGTTTTTAAAAGGGTGCCCCTTCGGGGTTTTTTTTCTTCCCTTTTTCTTTGTTTGTCATGTTGGAAATTTTCCCTTTCCCTCTGACGAATCGAGTTGCCCCCCCCAAATTCCCCCTTATCGTTCATTCATTAAATAAGAAAAAAAGGATTAAAATTTAATTTTTGAATAAAGACATTTTTTACTTGAATTAAATTTATAATGAAAAAAAAAGAAAATCATTTTGATTTTAAAAATTTTCAAAAATTTTTATTTTAATTGGGGAAACAAAATACTAAATTAAAGTCCCCATAAAAGACTTACATCACTTTTTTCCCCCCGGGGGGCCTTTCCGGTCGAATTTGGGAGTTCCTGGCTGTGGATTGGATTCAGGTTTAAATGTACGGGGAAGTTCCGGGTTTGTGTTTTTGGTTTTGGCACCCCCGTACATTGGGAACTAACTGCTTGTTTTTTGCCCGGTGTTTGTAAAATACTCCCAGCCTGCCAGATTTGTAGCCCTGCTCAGTGCTTCCATGCGATGTACTTCCGCCTGCCGGCGCATATCAGTCGTCACTTCCTGTGCAACATCTCTGTTTGAATGGCGTCGTCTTTTTCTGTAAAGCTTAGTAAGCGAGTCACACATTGGCAGCTTTTCTTTTTTGAAAACGGTGTCCATGTTCACATCTAAAAGATAAAATTGTGATATATTTAAAGTGCTAAATCATGTTAAGATACACGTATGTCAAATCGTTTTATTTTATTGCAAGTTATAAAATAACGTAGAGAATAATATCAAAGATGTCTGACGGATACCTGAGAAAATCATATAAATATTTTAGAAAATTATTACTGTCAATGTTAAGATATTATTCGAATAGAGTGAAAATATGATTATATACCATCATCACTATCAGAGCTACATTCTGACAAGTTTCTGTTTCTGGTCATCCTTGATTCCGCGCGTCGTATTTCCGCCTGCGTGCGCATGTCAGTCTTTACTTCCTTTACAATGTCTCGATTTGAAAGGTGTCTTCTGGGATTTTTTCTTGCCTTTCTCTTGATGTCATGTTCGGCAATTTCTTCCTCTGACGAACTCGAGTTGATGTCTAGGTCTGGACGCCAATATCCACTTATCTGTTCATTCATCCAAATAAGAAAATATGGACTTACAATTAATTTGTTAAATAACAGGACAGTTATACTTGAAATAACATTTCAGAATTATACTAGTACAAAATACTAAAATAAAGTCACATAAAAGACTTACATCACTGTTTTCCCCGCTTCCGGTCGAACTTGACGTTCCTGGCTGTGGATTGGCATTCAGGCTTTCAACTGTCTGCGAAGTTCCGGGTTTTTGCGGGTTTGTGGTTTTGGCACCCAAATCTTAAAAAACTAACTGCTTGTGTTGCACTTTGCTTTTAAATACGACTACCCCCTTTGGGGTTTTCTCAAAGGTTTAAAGAAACCCCGGGAAGCTAAATTGCTGTTGATGGTCCCGTTTTGGGGGCACCCGGGGGTTTGATTTTTGAGGGTTCGAAATTTTGTAAAGCCAGGCTTATTTTTTCCCTTTGGTTCGCAAAATTTAAATGGGCTGGGGTGGTTTGCTCCAGGTAATTTCTGTGAACCATCGAGTTATGCTCAATGTTGTTCGACCTGTTACGGATGTGCATGTTTTGGAAAATCCGACGAGAAATCGCATCTGTAGTAATAGAAATAAGTTGGCATTCTTTAAATTTGTACTCACCACTTATCTCGGTAGCATGATGTAGACCTATCAGAGCAATGCAAATGTTGTAGTTTTAAGTTTCTTAAAATTACGTTATGTAATAACATTGTTTACTGCCCTTCAACATCGACAATATAGTTATTTTGAGTCTGGCTTATGCATTAATAAATCGTATAACAATCATATACAGTGTACTTACTGTCCCGGTTGACTTCATCAATTGGCTCTGTTCTTATTCTCGACAAACGAGAACGGGATCTGCCAACTACTCGATGAGGTGCCCGGCTGAAATTATACACGAGTAGTCTTAAGGCATCAACAGACGGTAGGATTTAGTTGTACAACACTAATTAGAGATAAGATGTACAATTTTCAATGCAAGACAACACTTGCAATCAGACGGTAATTCTGCATTGTAGGAATCATCTCAGGTTTCCCTAAAAAAGTTCCCTCATAATTGATCCCTTACATACTTTACTCACTAATTTTTTTTTCTCCATGAGTAATGATTGAAACACCTCCATTAAAAATCGTTTGTTTTTTTAAATGTGAAGCCTGACCGAGACTCCAACCTGGGACCCTCGGAATACCGTACTGCGGTTCTACTGACCGGCCGCCTACAAACTACCTCCCCTGATTAGAGAACAAAGCAATGCCGTTACATAATCATTTTCGGAACAATTTGGGATTCGAACATACCAAAACTTTGGGTCTCCTGGAGAGTTTTTCAACATTATTTTTACCCCATCTTTCTATTATGTTTATCTTTTAGCTCCTAATTTCATTCATTTCACCCAGGATCAGGAGATAATTTGGTAATTGTGAGAGGTCTGTAGAAATCTGTACGACAAGATTTTCAAAATAGAACATGTCCTATCCCTTACATCTAGACTTAAGGTTTCCGAAATCAAGAAATAGTAGCCTTCACACATTAAGATTTGCTAACATCTTAGTTTTAATTGGTGTTGTACTTCAAAATCATACCGTCTGTGGAGGCCTTTAGAAAGATAAACATCTTCAGGGCTAAGTAAAATGAGCCGTGTCACGACAAAACCAACATAATGGGTTTGCGACCAGCACGGATCCAGACCAGCCTGCGCATCCGCGCAGTCTGATCAGGATCCATGCTGTTCGCTTATAAACTCTTATGGATCCTGACCAGACTGCGCGGATGCGCAGGCTGGTCTGGATCTATGCTGGTCGCAAACCCACTATGTTGGTTTTGTCATGACACGGCTCAAATATGATACATGTACACATACAAGTAAATTCTCTCGATAGATAGTTGTACAAACTAAATAACTAAATGATTTCTTACATAATTTGATAACATATTTCGCTTTGAAATCAATATTTAGCTTCTAAGATCTTTTTTTGCATCATACCAAAGTTATTTATAATATAACTATTTTAGAGGACTCTCTCGAAGTTTATTCCTGTGAAATTTTGTCATAACTCATTCAGTAGTTTGAGAGATATTATTAAAAGGCCCATTATGCCTCAGAAATACTATCATTTTTATTTATCAAACACTTGTTTTTTTATTTTTGGTAACTTGTTACAGTTTCCACAAAAATATTTATTAGCTGTATTCATGAACTATCTTGTGCTACTTTTTCTTTGTTGGCAGTTGGTATAATTATAGTGAATCAGTAGTTGTATGGAAGTCAAAATACTACTTTGTTTACATTTTTTACTTTACAACACATTACTACATGTTCAGGGCTGCTTTCCCTCAGTTGTTAAACATCCAGCATGCTTTAAATCCATAATTCAAACATTATTAAACAATGCTTGACATTTCTATCTAAAGAATTAAAACAAAAAGGATAATGTGCGACTTATGACGGAAAGTATGCTATGTAGGAGCACATTTGTCTCGAAACACATTTGTCTTACGTAAGACCGATGCGGTCGCATTTGTCCCACATGAGACAAATGGGACCTCAAATATCTACCCCAAAAAACTCATTTGTGTGACAAATGTGCTCCGATCAAGTTTTTTAAGGGACAAGAAAGCACATTTGTCTCATGTGTTTTTAAGGGATAAGAAAGCACATTTGTCTCATGTCATTTTTATGAATTTCCCCACGGCAGAAATTCTTTTTTAGAATCGAGGTTCGCCGTATTACCTCATGTCAAGTGTAATCATCAATAGGTTTGCTTACGCTTTCTTTATGAAAACCTAAAGTAAATATTAATTACAATATCTCTTATTCAAGAAATTGATTGGCATAACCTAAAGACGTACACTGAAACATGCTAAATCTCGTTCACGATGGTACAAATGGTGACAGCGCGATGGCACGATGGTACGTTGATGAAAACGCGATGGTGCGATGGTGAAAACACAACGGTACGATGGTGAAAAAGCGATTGTACGATTGTGAAACAACGAAGGCTCGGTGATGAAAACGTGATGGTACTATGGTGAAAGACGATGTTACGATGGTGAAAATACGATGATACGATATGATGAAACTGCGATTGCATGATGATGAAAACGCAATATTTTTTTCTCTATCGTGACATCGCATCTTCGTGACTTCACCATCGTGTCATCGTGTTTTAATCATCGTACCATCGTACCATCTCAATTTCACCTTTGTACCATTGTGCATAGCTGTTCAGGGAGACAAAAATGTTACTTATGTCCAAACAGAACACCGTAATCGGTTGATATTGAATGATACAATATCGTAACTCGTTTCGCATCTCGCCGAAATCTCGCGTCTCGCTTCGCATCTCGTTCGTCGACGTGAGACAAGAAATTGATTCCAGGTCATATACCGCTAAGTAGTATTTCCTTTATAGTCTACATAGAATCACTTAAAGGCCCATTATGCCTGAGAAATGCTTTTATTTGTATTCCACAAAAGCTTTTTTATTTTTGGTATACTTTTATAGCTCCAAAATGTTATTCATTGGCTAATTACCTGAATCATTTTTTCATCTGCTGCTTTTTTTCAGTTTGTACAGTTGAAGTGATTTAGAATTTTGTATTGAAGTCAATTACTATGTTTACAATTTGCTACTTTTATATCACATTATTTCACATTTATCGCGAATTTCTTTGGGTTACAAGCATCTAACTACCTCAGAAATCATTATTTGAATACTAATAAATTGATACTTGCCCTATCTAAAGAAGTAAAAATTTATTCATTTCCGAAAATCTCGTGGTACGGGATACTTTGACATTGCGAGATCTCGTGTTGCAATATCGTGCCTCTCTTCGTGTCTCATTGAAAAGTCGCGTCTCGCCCGATTCTGAGTGGCCCGATATTCCTTAATTATGGCATCGCCCGGATTATTTTAGAAAGCATGTTGTAAGTGCTTTTTCAATGCCGGATATGAAAGCCGCAATTCTTGGAAAATGACTATTTTTTTCTACATATATTTCTGATGAAAACAAAATACGTGTGTAATGGTCTTCTTATTTTCTTCCACAGATCATTTAAGGGCCTCCGTGGCCGAGTGATTCAAAAAAACAAAAAAAACAAGCCCCTAACCGCTGTAGGTTCGACACATACACGGGGCGTCGAACTATTCATGCGAGGATCCTGGTCAGGTTCCAAATGCGGAATACATATCCGCGTGCGCATGCAATAGCTATCTCGTGCGCACGTAATAGTATCGCGTAGCCATGGACGTAATAGCTATCGTGTGCGCACGTAATTAATAAGAAAATTCTATGTCCCGTTTATGCCACCGTAGATACTACCTTGTTTTGCTTAAAATATTTCTAGTGCCATAAATCATTTATAAAACTTTAAGCATTTAATACAAACGTATCACAATTAATAACGATAAGAATAGACTTGCTGAATATTTAGGTATTGGATGCTGCACTTGTAGAAATTTTCATTGTGACATGCAGAACGGGGATATTCTTTACTAACTGGAAGTCACGTAAAAACGGTATTATAAATACAGAAAACACAGAACAATGGCTGGTAGCCGGTATACAGATGGGCATAATTATTACCTTTTAAGAATTTTATGGAAAAATGTGAGACACATGTGCTTCGTGTGTCCTTTCTATTGTGTGTCGAACACATCTGTCTCATTTCCAATTTGTCGCAAATATGAATGTTTACGAACACATCGGTCACACTTCGTGAGACAAATGTGCTCCTACAATGCTATCACAAAAACTCAGATACGAGTTCGAACGTTTCTGCCTTCACCCTCTCAGCATTAACACATTTATTATTTTTCGTAGCCCAAGAAAGGTTTTCTAATTATTTACAATTTACAATTTGCGTAAGGTTTAAATACATTAAATTTTATTGACATCGAGATACCTGTTGAACCTATATATAGAGAATAATAGGTTGGTGCCGTGGATGGAGAAAGTTGATCTGGCGAGGCGGGGGAATTTATTGGGTGAGCCGAAGGCGAACCCAACAAATTCCGGAGCAGAGCCAGATAAACTTTCTCCATCCACGGCACCAATCTATTATTCTATTTATCCTGTCACCGTTTTTTTAAAGAATTTTATTAGGCAAACTACCTTTAATCACACTATCGGAAATGTTTCTATATAAACAAAGAAGGCCCGAAGCGTGCATTATTCTACATTAATACACTTGTTACTATACCTATAGTAACAAAATTGCCTATGATTTCAACTGATTATGAGTGTCACGTGACCTATTATGAGTTTGCGGCCCGGGGCCGAGAACTAGTTATCAGCCCGCAGAACATGTGCACGTGCACAAACTTAAAAACAATGACGTCATATTTTACGTCATCAAACAGTTAACTGTAAAAGTGAAAGTAGGTTGTCAGCACTTATTAAGAGGTTAATACACGGCAGGAAAGGGCCGGAAGCTGATAATCGGCCCGCAAAATGAATAATGGACCCGAGGGCTTTAGCCCGAGGGCCATTATGCATTCAGGGCCGATTATCACCTTCTGGCCCTACGCTGACGTGTATTAATGTCTTTAATACACTTGGTAGATCTTATAGTAGCATTAAAAAAACAAACAAACAAAAACATAATCAAAACAAATAGACTTTGAAGTTCTTTCATTGAAATTCTTGTCTTCTCTTCTACTGTTCTGTACTGGTTTGGGAGATAAACTCGGCCGAAAATCGGTGTTTTTGGGGCATATTTCATTTATTTGTTAACGTATTCTGATGAATCTTGCACCATAATAAACTTCAGCTCTTCGATTTTCCGGTATCACCATAAAAGTTATATTTAGAAACATAACGGGTAATTTTGAGAGGCCCTGGAAGAGGTACGTAAAAAGGATATTTTTAACGCGCGCGAGTA